CAATGCACCAAGACCTTCTCAAACGCTCGAGCTCTGGAAGTGCACCTGAATTCACACAGTGGTGAGTGCCTCCCATGTTTCCTTTTGCTCCAGGAGGCTCTGTGCTTTCTCTACACACATACCTATGTACACACCTATATACATCTATGTCTAGTTAACTATAGCTTTCTATAAAAACAAAACCTAACTTGCTGGACCAACTGGTTATCTTATGTCATTTATTATACAATCAGTATATTCTACTTAAAGGACTTGGATCTGAATTCTTTTCTGACTACTGTGCTCAGAGTACAGGCCAAATTATCTATTTTTTTTTCAGCTGAAGTAAAACAGCATCATTTTAGAAAGAAAGTCTCAATACCCTTTGTATATTGTCATTAATATTCATTGATTTGCAACCTGGCCATACTGTTTCCCACATGGCAGAGGATAAATAGTAGACACATAAAAATAAATATTTTCCGAATTGAAATAAAGCTGTTATTTTGATAGATCCAATTAAAATCACACTTGAAAGAAATTAACTTTTAAATATGGTCTATAAAATGCTCTTAACTTCCAGAGTGTGTATAATAACAGCTTACTTTGTTTTTATGCCATAAAATCACTTTTCATACTATGCTTTAAAATTCCTTAAGAAAAAATTAGTCTGAAAAAGAAATAAGTTGTTTGTTTTGTTTTTTCCAAGCCCATTCTTAACAGCAAGGTAGAAACTATTCCCATTTATTTTGGAATTGTATGCCCAATTGCTGTTAGTACCATCACACAGCATTCTAATTCCCATATATTAACTTCAGATATTCCTAGGAACAATCTTGGATAGGGCAAACCAAGGTTTGGGAATTACAGTTTTTTGGCACCTATAATCCAAAATTTGATATTTTTGGGTGACTTCCTTCACTGTTTTTACTTGGGTTGAGTAAGTAAAAAACTGAAATAGAAGCAGAGTTTCAAAAAAACAACAACCAACCTCCAACGTCCTAGTACAGTGCAAACTATTGTCTCTAGACCTATAAAAATAGGCAATTTCCTTTCTACTCATTCTCTTCCCTTTTCCCTACAAATGAGCTGTCTTTACATAGGTGATAAAGAAGGGAAAGTAGAAACAAGTTGGTTGTTTCACATGGTGAGTAAAGTCATGCATAAAACAAAAATAAAAACAGAGGGATCTTTTCAGCTGAATGGAAAAATAAGTATTGGATTAGTTAAGGAGAAAAAAAAAGAAAAGAATAAGAAGTCTTCTATCACTACAGGACTGGGTTTTCTCTGCCATATTTTCAGCTTATAAATATAAAAGGCAATTTTCACTTTAGTCTAGGGTACAGGCAGGATGGACATAGCCTGATTTAACTATATACCAACAAATGGGAACGAGAGTTGACCTTCGTGAGTAAAAGTGCCCAGATCCCAACTCCATCAAGCAATTATCAGAAAACCAACTGGGTGTCCTACAATTCAGTTCAATTCTGACACTATCTGCCAAAAGACATAGCATCAGATCCCACAGGTTAAGGGCTCAGTTCCACAAGACCGCCTACCCCAGTTCAGATGCCAGTCGCAAGTCCAGATTGTTACCTGTGCTTCTGACCAATGGGTGGCTATAAATCAGAGGTTTTCCAAGACGCACTCCTTAGGTTTGGTTAATTTGTTAGAGCAGCTCACAGAATTCAGGAAACCCATTTATTCACTAGATTACCTGTTTATTATAAAAGGATGTAACACTGGAACAGCCAGATGGAAAAGATGCACAGGGCAAGGGATGGGGAAAGGGTGAGCAGCTTCCATGCCTTCGTAGAAGGCACCACTCTCCCCTAGTCTCCACATTTTCACCAATCCTGAAGCTCTTGGAACCCTATCCTTTTGGGTTTTTCTGGAGACTTCATCACATAGGCATGATGGATAAGATCACTGGGCATTGGCAATTGAACTCATTGTCCAGCCCTTCTCCCCCTCCCAGCGGGTTGGGGTTGGGGAGAGTTTCAGCATTCTAATCACAGAGTTTGTTCTCCTGGCAACCAGCCTTCCCCCCCATCTTTAGATTATCTACGGACTTTCCAAAAATCATTTCATTAACATAATAAAAGACACCTTTATCACTGTTATCACTGGAAATTCCTTGATTTTAGGAGCTATGAGCCAGGAACCTAGGACCTTTGGTCATCCAGATGACCAGAATATATCCAGATGACCAAAATATAAAATAAATATATATAGAGACTAAATGTGTTTGGTCTATATATATATATATATATATATATATATATATATATTTCTTATAGATCACAGTATTATAAAGAGGTTTAACCACCAGTCATTGGTAATATTAAAAATATTTAATAACTGACTAGAAACACCCAGTGATCAATCAGCATGGATGTCAGTCAGAAATGACTATATTGGTGCACTGGTATCTACCAACTGAGTATCATCAGCCCTGGATAGAGATAAACCATGTTCAGCAAAACCAATGAATAAAATTCTAGATTTGTTTCAAAGATAAATTAGAAGGCTGTTAATGACTTTACAAAGTGGTTCCTACTTGGATTATTTTGAATGAAAACCTCTCTGGTATACTGAGAGTTATTTGATTTACACACAGATTAGATTATCAAATTCAAGTCTAATGAACACCTACTTCTCCCTAATATAGAACATAATGTTGTAATAAGTTACTGGATTAGAAATAATGAAATCTGAGGTTTAGTCATGGCACTACCACTGAATAGCTTTATTATCATAATCAATTCCCTTAGCCACCTTGAGTCTGTTTCCTGACCTGTAATGTGGAGAAATGATTCCTATCCCACTCTGATGCAATAATTCGCATGAAAGTGCTTTGGAAACTATAAAGTGCTATTACTGTTATCACACATGGTGGAAGATGTCACGAGAAAAAAGTTAATGTCACAAATGAGATTCTGAAAAATTTTAATTCATTCCTGTTGCGCTGAAGACACTAGATCAGGGGTCGGCAAACCATGGCTTGCGAGCCACATGCAGCTCTTTGGGTACATACATGTGAGCAATTTTTTGTGCAAATTTTTCTTATTTTAATAGATATAATTAATACTATTACTTGTTAGAATATTACTTTACATTTTCCTTATTTGTAAAAATATGTCTATGGCTCTCAAGTAATTTTTAAATTGTTGTGAGGGACAGGATTGGCTCTTCTGTCTCCAAAGTTTGCCGACACCTGCACTAGATCTTTAGTAAAGGTTCATATCGTGACAAAGCCAATGCGTGAGGGGCTCAGTGTTCTCATTTTGTATGTCTCTCCAGGAGTGAAAATGGAAGAATTCCTCCCCCCTGGTGCTAGTCTAAAATGCACCGTCTGTAGCTACACTGCTGATTCTGTGATCAACTTTCACCAACACCTGTTCTCCCATCTCACTCAAGCTGCCTTCCGATGCAATCACTGCCACTTCGGCTTCCAGACACAGAGGGAGTTATTGCAGCACCAGGAGCTCCATGTCCCCGGAAGCAAACTTCCCAGAGAAAGTGACATGGAGCCCTCTCCAACTGGAACTGAAGATAGCTTACAGCCAGCCACAGACTTGTTGACCAGAAGTGAACTCCCCCAGAGCCAAAAGGCCATGCAGACTAAAGATGCAAGCTCTGACACAGAGCTGGACAAGTGTGAGAAAAAGACTCAGATCTTTCTCACTAACCAGAGACCAGACATACAGCCTACAATTAATAAGCAAAGCTTTTCTTACACGAAAATCAAATCTGAGCCCTCTAGTCCAAGACTTGCCTCATCTCCAGTCCAGCCTAATATTGGACCTTCTTTCCCTGTGGGTCCTTTTCTCTCTCAGTTTGCTTTTCCCCAAGATATCACAATGGTCCCTCAAGCTTCAGAGATCTTAGCCAAGATGTCGGAGCTCGTACATCGGCGACTGAGGCATGGAAGCAGTAGCTACCCTCCTGTGATTTACAGCCCCCTGATGCCCAAGGGGGCTACTTGTTTTGAGTGTAACATAACATTCAATAATTTGGATAATTATCTAGTGCACAAAAAACATTACTGCAGCAGCCGATGGCAGCAGATGGCCAAGTCCCCAGAGTTCCCCAGTGTTTCAGAAAAGATGCCTGAGGCTGTGAGTCCCAACACTGGCCAAACCTCCATCAACCTTCTCAACCCAGCTGCTCATTCTGCTGATCCTGAGAACCCACTTCTTCAAACATCATGCATCAATTCTTCCACCGTTTTAGATCTAATGGGGCCAAATGGGAAGGGCCACGACAAGGACTTTTCCACTCAAGCTAAGAAGCTTTCCACCTCCAGTAGCAATGATGACAAAATTAATGGAAAACCTGTTGATGTGAAAAATCCCAGTGTCCCCTTAGTGGATGGGGAAAGTGACCCAAATAAGACTACCTGTGAAGCTTGCAACATTACCTTCAGCCGGCACGAAACATACATGGTCCACAAACAGTATTATTGTGCTACACGCCACGACCCTCCGCTCAAGAGGTCTGCTTCCAACAAAGTGCCTGCCATGCAGAGAACCATGCGCACGCGCAAGAGAAGGAAGATGTATGAGATATGCCTACCTGAACAGGAACAACGGCCTCCCCTAGTTCAGCAGCGATTTCTTGATGTAGCCAACCTCAGCAATCCTTGTACCTCCACTCAAGAACCCACTGAAGGGCTAGGAGAGTGCTACCACCCAAGATGTGATATCTTCCCAGGCATTGTCTCCAAGCACTTGGAAACATCTCTGACCATCAACAAATGTGTTCCGGTTTCCAAATGTGACACTACTCATTCCAGTGTTTCCTGCCTAGAGATGGACGTGCCCATAGATCTCAGCAAAAAGTGTTTATCCCAGTCTGAGCGGACGACCACATCTCCCAAAAGGCTGCTGGACTACCACGAGTGCACTGTGTGCAAGATCAGTTTCAATAAGGTAGAAAACTACCTGGCCCACAAGCAGAATTTCTGCCCGGTCACTGCCCATCAGCGTAATGACCTGGGTCAACTTGACAGCAAAGTGTTTCCAAATCCAGAAAGTGAACGAAACAGCCCTGACATCAGCTATGAAAGAAGCATAATAAAATGTGAGAAAAATGGGAATCTGAAGCAGCCTTCCCCCAACGGAAACTTATTTTCATCCCACTTAGCCACCCTGCAAGGCCTGAAAGTCTTCAGTGAAGCCGCTCAGCTCATTGCTACGAAAGAAGAAAACAAACATTTATTTCTTCCCCAATGCCTTTACCCTGGAGCAATAAAGAAGGCCAAAGGAGCTGACCAGCTTTCTCCGTATTATGGCATAAAGACAAGTGATTATATTTCTGGTTCTCTTGTCATCCATAACGCTGACATAGAGCAAAGCACCAATGCGGAAAACGAATCTCCAAAAGGCCAGGCTTCCTCAAATGGGTGTGCTGTGACGAAGAAAGATTCCCTGCCTTTGTTGCCCAAAAACAGAGGCATGGTAATAGTTAATGGTGGACTGAAGCAAGATGAGAGACCTGCCACCAACCCACAGCAAGAGAACATTTCCCAGAATCCTCAGCATGAAGATGGCCACAAATCTCCCTCTTGGATCGCTGAGAACCCATTAGCTACCAATGAAAACGTCTCACCAGGAATTCCCTCTGCAGAGGAACAGTTGTCTAGTATAGCAAAAGGTGTAAATGGCTCCACCCAGGCTCCAACAAGTGGGAAATATTGCCGGCTGTGTGATATCCAGTTCAACAACCTCTCAAACTTTATAACTCACAAGAAGTTTTATTGCTCATCACATGCAGCGGAACACGTCAAATGAGATATCTAAATAAATACACATCAGTCACCTTTGGTACCAGTGTTTAGTATGTTGTTCTACCCGGTCCAGAAAAAAACAACAAAAACAAAAACAAAAGCTGTTTGAATTACATCTGGGCAATCAGGAGATAATTCATCATGGCTGAGTTGAAGACTTAAGGTGTAATTTCATTACAGTCCATTAGTAAAGTGTATTATTGGTGCCATTTTCAAAAAAAAATTAATTTATTTTACCAGCAGTATTCATAGCTGTGGTTATGTTATTTTTTATTTAAAAACTTTATATTAAAGTCATTTGTAATGTTATTGTATAGTTATTGTGTAGCACATATGGTTTGCACTGTATAGTAGCTTTTAAAGAAAATAGTCACAAACAATACAGAAAAGCATTTTAGAAATAGCTTCAAAAGCACTTGTGTATCTTGATTTCTTCTTATATGCTGTTGCAGATATATGTATATGCTAAAATATAACTTGCAAAGATGTTCTAAATATACGTGCTATAAGTTCGCCTTAAGATTTCAATTCTTGGATAATCAGGCTCTGTTTGCACTTTATATTTTAGCAGATACAGTCTCTTAGTCACTAGGCTTTGCATCTGTATGTAGCCGTATGTTTCTGTCCATTTTCTTAATCTTAAACATGTATGTTAAATGAAGATGGCAACTTTTTTCTTGTATAGTACTTGTATTTTCTTTCGCTGATGCAGCTCTGTCTCAATTTTTAAACCTTTGCTGTTAAATGCAATACTTTATAAAGAATGAACAAAATTACTGGAAGCAGTATTGTAAGTAATGAGGTAGTATTAATCAGTTTTATCTTTTGAAAGGCACAGTCTAAATCAAAATCCTAAACTCAATGCTGCAAGTATGAATTTAATTCATATATAAGATCTATTTAAATATAAGAGTAGCAATACTGCACCTGGTGATCACAAAGATAATGTTCTACTTCTGATAGAAATAATTTCTCAACAAATGTTGTTACTATGCATGTATATGGATGGAATAAAATTCCAGATTGTTGGAGAAGGTTGGCATACTTTTTTTCTTTAAAATACAAGGGAAACCATATATATCAATCTTTTGTGTGATCAGAACAGGTTCACAACAGCACTGGATAGTGACAGTAACATGATAACAAACCAGTCAAGGGACTATTGTTCTTTATATGTGCCTAATTAATATAACTTACTATATAAAATGAGCTGGAAACTCCAGCAACTAGAAAAGTTCTTCATTATGACTATATAATAAGCACTGTCTTTCTTTTCTCTTGCCCCCACTACCACTGTAGAGCACAGAAAAAAGAACAATTTCATGAGTATCTAAAAGGCTTACAAAGCTTATGACCAAGAATTGGCACAAGTGTTGATCAAATGCACCCAACTTTTAGATGGAATTTACCAGAGAAAGGTTTGCATTTTGAAGAGCAGTGTATGTAGTATATGGTAAAGTGACTCTGATGAGTAAAGATGCACAAATTTCATGCTTGCAATTTGTAAAACACACTAGATTTCACACATACCATTTGTAATTCCAAGGGTTTGTGTTTTGAGGGGGAATGGAGAACAGAATGTGGGTTAGGTCATAGAGGACCTAATGGGCTACCCGGAGGTGTTGAGATGTGATTCAGTAGGCAAGATGGCACCTATTTCCAATCAAGACAGACTGCAGTCTATTGCAGTTTTAGAAACATCCTGACCTGGAAAGGCAATTACCTCACCTGTGGCTGAGACACACTATTTGCATAGTTGTGATGCACTATTCATCCATATTGGATTTGGTAACATAATGAACATAAGGTGCTAGCCCCAAACATAATATATAAATACTGTGAAAAAACATTGAAAAAAAATACCATATTGTCAAGATCATTTCTCCAGTTCCTTGTTGAGAATAGCGATTTTTAAATATAAAATCTTGACCTTAACTTATGTTTTTCATTTCAGGTGACTAAACGCTGAGGTGACCAGAACTGATATGCTTAATAGAGTTTTGCAGGAATCTCTTAAAGTATCAGGTCCTTAGGGATCCGTAGGGTTGTTCATAAAGATCTGCATGGTTCTCAATTGAGAACTGGCAAACCTGGGTGTTCTTAACAGGACTTCCTACCCCAATTTCTTATTTTTCCTCTTCTCTCAAAATGGAAGGAAGGAAGGAAGGAAGGAAGGAAGGAAGGAAGGAAGGAAGGAAGGAAGGAAAGAAGGGGAAAGAAAAAAAAATCAGCCAGTCATCTTCACTTTATTGATCATCTAGGATCTTATCCACTATTTGGGGGATGAAGGCAAAGAAGTATAATACATGATTATTCCCTAAAGGAGTTTATATTCTGGCTCACTTTAGTACTTCTCAACACTGTTCCCTCATTAGAATCACTTGGGGGACATTTTTTAAATGTCAATAGATATGTATTTTTAGTACACTGGGCCTCACATTAGATCAATGTTTTAAATGCCTGGGTTCTGGGAATCTATATAAGATCTGTCCAGGTGGTTCCAATATGTGACAGTATTGTAAACACTAAATGTTGAACTAGGATAAGGTATGCAGGATGAGTGAGACTAAACAGAGTAGAAAGATAAAAAGAAAACCAATGTGGGATGCAAGAGTTGAGAAAGGCTATATGAATAGGGTATGGTCTTGAAAGGTTGGTACAATGGTAAAGAAAACTACCTGTTGTTTTGGGAGCCCTGAAATATATGTGCACTATATCCAAAAGAATATTTCAAGTATTGTTTGTATAACTGAAAATCAGTTCTAATAGCCATTCACAGAAGGAAATAGATAGCATAGGCTGAAATAGTGACATTTGGACCAAAACTAGAATCTGGAGTATATAGAGGAAGAAAATGGTATTTCTGCATGTGGAGATCATTATAAATGTTAGATGAAAGTAACATGTGAGGGTGAAGAGTGAGTAAAGAAAATTTTTCAAAAGAAGAGGGCTCAAATTGGAAAGTAAAAGAAAATAAGTGTATAAATAAGGATCTATTGGGTTGGCGGAAAAGTCATGACATATTTTTTCTCTGTTTCTCATTGCAAAAATGCGTCATGACTTTTCCGGCAATCCAGTAGTATAAAAAGACCTTGAATTCCAGGCTGAGGTTTATGGGCTTGCCTTGTACATTGCTTCTTAAATAGAATCATGAAATGAAAATTGTGTTTAGGAATGGTGATAGAGTATGAGGCCTGATGCTAGAGAGATGGAGATTAGTTACAAGTCTATAGTGATGGTCAAAATGGGGGATAGTGAGAGTCTAAACCAAGTGAATGGAGAAGGACAGGTCCGGGCACCGGGTTACATCATGACTTACATCAAAGAGGAAATCATAGACCTTCAACCCTCACTGATAAACTCCCATGTTTAACAAGACAATATTTAGGTCGGAATATGAATACCAGTTGAATGGTCTGGGGGAAGGATGGCAAAAAGAGCAATGCTTTATATTAGGTTTTCAGATTGGTAGTATTTAAATCCCCTACAGAATACTAAAGCCTACAGAATCAAAACATCTAGGGTAGGCCTGGATTTCTGGGGGTTTTTGGCAAAGCAACCCTACGGTATTCAATGTTGTCCTCCTTTGACCACAATTGAGAATCATTGAATTAAACATAGAGGAAATGGGAAGCAGTATTCTGGGGGCAATACCAAAATAAATTAAGCTGGCGGCAGAATTTAATACACAATTGGTCTTCAAAGTGTTGCTATCTCATATGTAACAAATTTGCGTTGAAACTATTAAAATAATTCGATGTGTGTTTTAATATTGAAATTAAAATTAAAAATTAAGTTGTTATGGAATCTGCAAACAATATTTGAAAATCTCTTAATCGGGCGGAACCGTCTCATTTTCAGGCAAAACTAAGGGCCAGAGATTTGAAATGCCCAAAGTCACAAAGCAAGAAGGGATGAGTCTCATTCTCAGGTTACCCCCTCAGGTCAATCTTCCTTTCTCCGCTAAACCAGGAGGAAATTGCTAAGGCAAGCAGCTAAAATTCCAGCTACCTTTTCTCTCTCTGATATATTTAAGCCTAGCTCCAACATTCTCTGGAGATAGGGAAAAGGGAGATTCTCATGACCTGTAACAAATTACCATAAACTTGGTCAACACAACAGGAATTTAGTCTTTCACAGATCTGGAGGCCAAGAAGTCTGATATCAAGATGTCAGCAGGGCTATCCTTCCTACACAGACTGGAGAAGGCCTTCCTTGCCTATTCCAGCTTCTGGTGGCTCTCCTTGGTAGCATTCCTTGTTGTGTGGCTACTTTAATCCCTGCCTCCCTGGTCACATTGCCTCCTCCTCTTTGTATTTAATCTCCCTCTTTTAAGGACACTCTTGATGGCATTTAAGACCACCAGGATAAATCTCCACATGTCTCGCAGTAAACATCTTTGCCACAAGCATTTTTGCCACAAGCATTTTCGCTGCGAACATTTTCACAGCACAACTAATTGGCCATAAGGCAATTTCTCTGTAAAAGATAAAGTAACTGGTTGACAGTTTGATTTCATTTCTCCATTGAGGAA